GTGATGTACTCTGTGGTCCCTCAGATGCTGAACCCCTTTATCTACAGCCTGAGGAACAGAGACATGAAGGACGCCTTGAGGAAACTCTTTGGTAGGATCGGTTCTTTGCTATGATGTGCCATTTTCTTTGGATTTGGGTTTTAGAGTAAGGTCAAGTGACAGGAATCCTGGTGAGCCAGAATGCCTGACTCTTTTTTTTTGTCAAATGGCCAGAGGAAATAAAAGCTAAATATATTCCATCTTGGGTTTGTTACCTAACCCTGACTTTCTTTCTAGATCAGGGTGTTTGACAAATGTCTTGACTCTTTAAACTCCATTTCTTTGTTCAGGTCATAGAGTCAGAGGCTGAGCTAGGTGTTCCAGCTTTAGTGATTTTAATAGATWCAAAAATATTTACTAACATATAATTTTTCTTGACAAATAGCAAAGACACAACTTATGGGCTTCACTGTGATGTATAATCAGAACAAGTCAACTGGGATATCAACCACATTCCTTTTGTTGGGGACATTCAGAATCTTCTCATTTTGAAATATCTATCCATCATTGTCAACCACAGTTGTTCTACTTTGCTATGGAACAGTAAAGAAGTCATTTCTCCTGTCCCACTGTGCCTCTGTACCTGTGAACCCTCCCTTTCTCCCACATCTTCTGAAACTCTGGTCACCACCAAACTCTGGTCATGAACATTAGCGCCCACATGTAAGTGAGAATGTGTGGTATTTTTCTTTCTGGGCCTGACTTCTGTTCACCCAATATCTTCTGGTTTCATTCATGGTGCTGCAAATGATAGAATTCTACCTTTTAATGTCAAAATAATAGTTCCACTCTGCATTCCACTAACTTTGTCCATTCACCCATTGAAGGGTGCCTGGTTTGATTTCCTCTCCAGTCTACTGTGAAGAGTGCTGTCATACATGGGGAGTGAGATGTCTCTTGTATGTACAGATAAAATCACCGCTGAATACATACCCAGTAACGGGATTGCTGAATCCAATGGAAGTTGTTTATACATTTTTTTARGGAAGTTGCACACTGYATGCTATAAGGGGTGTAGCAATTGACAGTCCAACCAAGAGTGCATAAGAGTTCCCCTTTCTCTGCATCCTCACCAGCGTTTGTTATTTTTTTTGTCTTTTTAATAATAGTCATTCTGAGGTGAGATGATATCGCCTTGTGTTTTGATTTGGATTTCTCTGATGATTAGTGAAATGGAACTTTTTTTCCTCTTCCAGTTGTTGTTCATTTATATATCTTCTTTGAGAGATGCCTTGTCAGGTCATTTGTACATTTTTTAAATGGGATTTTTTTTTTTTTTGATGAGGAGGAGCTGTGGAGTTCATTCTATATTCTGGAGAGTCTTAGGGATGCTTTTATGGGTCAGTCTCAGAGGCAGGAATGTAGTAGAGGGAGGATAGGTCAGAAGAAGGCCAAAGAGGCTGTTGTCATATCTGGAGGCTGGCTTCTGTCTTTATTGCACGTCTGTGGTCTCATTGAACCCCAGGAGGCACCCATGGTGCACAGAAAGAGCTACATTCTGAACCCTGTCTCATAAATATTGGGACCAGTCACTAGTTGACGATATTCTTCTGAGGGTAATATCAGCCTCTCACATACTCAGTTAGATAATTAGATTATCTCAGCATTTGAGATGTTAAGAATCTGAATATATCACTGAGGACACTAAAGTTTCCAATAAAAAGGAAGCCTGACTCAAACACTATAGAGAGCTCATACTAAAGAGAGCTGACTGGTGATTGTTGACCACCACTGATGACTGGCCACATGAGAACCTCATTATGAGAACCTCAGAGTGGGCATGTACCTGAAGAGTCGTTCAGTCTACCATAATGTGGGTCTTCCTAGGACTTGCTCTTCCAGGGTCACCTGGTGGTTGCAGCAGATGCTGGTGTCACACCTAGATGTGGCTGCCAGAGACAGAAACCTGAGTGTCCTTCCCTGGGTCAGTTGATCATAACATTTCCATTGTGTCAACCAGGTGACATCTCTTTTATGAATTGTTTTACGTCGCTCAAAATGCTATGTGAGGTTCTAATTCCCTCACTTGTGGCAGTAACTTAAATGACGAGAAGGTGAATGTTGCATACATAGGAGAAGTGTCTTGGGGAGTGGTGGCTTGTCCTTGACTATCTGGGTGGGCCTGGAACTCATTCCATTACAACCCTGCTGGGATCATTAGGGGCTGTTTATAGTCATTGGGTGATTCTCTGTGCTTTGCTTGGGAACTTGGGCCTTGACAGGGAACTTGTGGCTTACAGAACTGTGGCACAAGGTATTTCTCTTCTTTATAAATGAAATTTCTCTGTGGTATTCTGTTATAGCAGCACAGAATAGACAAAAAACACTGTTTCAGGATTTTTTCTCTTCTGTGTTTAAATTTTGATTTGCAGATCTTATGTGAGTGAGAATGAAGTTCTGTTCTTATTTCTGTCTGTGAGCTCACATTTTTCTAATATATAAGTGGTTTCCACCAATCATCAATCACCTCTCTTGTCCTTCATTAAGTTTAATGATTCCTTTTCTTGTAATTTTTTTTTCTGATACCAGGGATTGAACTCAGGAGCACTAGGCCTGAGCTACATTCCCAGCCCTATTTTGTATTTTATTTAGAGACAGGGTCTCACTGAGTTGCTTAGTGCCTCACTTTGCTGAGGATGGCTTTGAACTTGTGATCCCCCTGCTTCAGCCTCCAAGCCACTGGGATTAGGTGTGAGCCACTGCGCCCAGCATGATTTTAATAATAAAAAATCCAGCCAAGAGGCCGCAAGGTGGCATGGCTCACTTGCTTCCTAGTAGATTTCCTGAAATCTTTAGCTATTCTATTATAATCCAGACATTTTAATAATTTCTGTTTAGCCACATTTCCCCAATATGGAAGTTCCACTTTTGCTCCAGGCTTCAACCACCTAATCTCTTTGAGAATGTTTTGCCCTATTRCATGGAGGCAGTAACATTTTTTCCATAATTTGTTGAGCCCTTTGGTCATCCCAATCATTTTTTTGGTATGCAGAAAAATTTATTTTGTTTTATGGGAACCAGCTATATCTTTTAAAAATTTATCGATTATTTCATGTGTTTGAAATTAATGGTGGTAGTAAGGTGTGGACTGACATAATAATGCCATCTTGTCTCATGTCATTTTGAAATAACATATCAAAGCACCACTGATTAAAAAATCAGTTCAAATAGAAAGGGTTAACATGCAATGAAATGTACAATAAACTGAGAAACTGATGTGACTCCATTTTTGAAAACCCAGCTTCTACCT